TTGTGCCGAAAAAAGAAAGAAGCAGATAGACGTGAGTACGAAGAGCATGTGAAGCTAGGCGACAAAAATATAGCTCGAAAATTATACCAAAAAATAAAAAAAGACTGACAAATGATTTTAAACCCGAAATTAATTCCTGTAAATATCAAAATGATGATCTGATGATAGATGTTGCAAAGCATGCTTAACATTTGGAGCGATCACTTCTTGAACCTACGAAATGGCGGTAGTAGAAATACTCGCTATTCCGCTATGTCTGAGTTTGGTATCCCAGCAAAACTTATATGACTATGTAAAACGACGCTGAGCAATACCACCAGCTTCATTAGAATCGGAAAGAACCTCTCCAAACCGATTGACACCAAACGAGATTTCAGCAAATTCAAACCGCACTGGCACAATATTCTATAAACGTGTAAGGTTGCTTGCGTATATCGATGATATTGATGTCATTAGCTTGCACCCGCCCCATCAGTGCGGCATTTTTCAACTTAGAAGCAAATGGGTTTTGTGGTAAATGAGGACAAAACAAACTTTCTGTCGACAGAGAAATCTCCTGAGCATCTTGGGGCCTAACAAGGTACCTACAGCAACTTCTCATGGTAATAAAAGGGTACCATCTAATAATACATTAATCCCCATGCATTCTGATCCCTTCTGATCCCTTTGAAGGTTCTCCTTCAAGAAAAATTTATAAAGAACGGGAATAGGCTATCAGACTGTTCGAGAGATATAAATATATATCAGTTACATCCGAATCTCTGAAGGGTGGGCTAACCTGTGCAAAACAGGTTCTCAATACTCCCAAGGAAGAGTAATAGGAATCTGTATCGAAGCGTCTGAGCTGATTAGATGAGTCAGTTTCGAAGTCTGATGCCAAAAACGCAAAATGCCACCACTACTAACTCTTTTAACGACACGCTGAAGGGCTTCATCATGATTGCGGTCATTGATGAGAATAGCCCTGATAGAATTAATATCCCTGGAAAGTGTGATCAAATCGAGTTCAAGCTAATATATTTGTAAATTGAAGTCCTAAAGGAATTTCCAAGCACAACTCCCAAATGTCGCATAAGCTAGTCGTTTGCGCAGATCAACGTTCTGTTGATACATTTAGCATCCAGAATTGATGTGGTTTGGCTAGGCGCAAAACTCAAACTCGTTGCCAAGAAGTAACTTCAAACCTAACCAAGAGCGCGTTTCTTCAACCGAACCATTCGATCCTCAGTGGATTGTAGAGCTTATTTCATTGGATATCCCTGAAATTAATACGGTTACATGGAAGGTCACTAAGCTAGAAGGAACCAAAGGTAAATATAGGTCGGCCAGGGAAGCTGGCCATTTTGGTAAGAGCTAGTGGCATGTTAAATTATGGTTTCTACCCATAAATTCGAGGGTTTTCAAAAAGAATCAGAAGCTATCCTCACCTAACGTAAGAACTAAGTGGCAACATCATTTCAATTAAGACGAAGTTTTAAAATCGGGAAATGAATCTGAGGAAGATGGTTCTCTAGAAGTCATAGTGGTGGTGAGAACTGATTCCACACTAAATGAAGATGGGAGAAGAACAGATTAACCAGCATCATAGCAAGGCTGCATCCGCCAGCCTGCTCCAACACCTCAGCAACAACGAGGTCGACATGATACAAGAACCATGGATTTATGAAGACCTTGTATGCGGAATCAGAACAAAAAACTATGATTTATTGTACGTGGTAAATAAGGGTAAGTCTAGGTCCTGCGTAGTGATTAACAAAAAATGTATTGCTTTCTTGCTTTTGCAATCCAGTGACGGTGAACAAACCGTAGTAGGTATTGAGGGCTACTGGGGTCAAGTATGAGCAGTATCTGCATATCTGGTACATAATCACGCTGCGCTACCATAAGATACAAACGAAAGAGGTCAGTTACTTCTTGATTTTATTTTTAGTAGTAATATTTTTATTTGTAATGATGGCAATAGACCAAATTTTATTACTAAATACAGGCAGAAAGTGTTAGACGTTACGTCGCTACTGCCAAGCTTCATGAATCGGGCAAGAATTGGAAAGTGTCCACTCCTTCTCGGACCATATGATTCTACAACTTAACCTAACCTTAAATAAATCGAGCATTTACAATTAAAAAACGTTTAGAAATATTAGAAACACTAAATAGACGAAATAAAAAAACAGCGTTAAGTAAGCTGATGTTAAGCATTTGCTTCGATCCGCCAGAAAACACTGTTGATCTAGACGATCAAATCCAAGATCTCACTTCAGTGCTCAATGAAGTGAGATTGCATTCCTAGTAGGAAATGCAATCCATCTTGGTGGAATAAAGACTTAGGTCTTTTGTGAACATTAAATTATTGTGAGTGATTAGTTAAAGTACAAGATCTCTCTGCAAAAATAAAAGAAAAATCTACATAGGTTGGCAGTTATACTGTCAGGAAATAAACAACAACTCGGAAATCTCTAGATTGCGTAAAATCCAATCCAAAAACCCATCCGTCCCTAAGTTACTCAAAAAACCTAATTGGACATGATCTAACAATGGTAGTGAATTATTGGAATTACTGCTATATACTCACTTTCCGGAATCCTCTTCTTTGGTAATCGCATCCACGAATTGCCTGAAATTTTCACCGGTTAACTCTATTAAAGTGAACTTGCAGATACTTAAATCGACCATTTTTAGTTTCAAACCCTATAAATCACCAGGACCGGGTAGCATACATCCAATTGAGCTCCAAAATTTTTGGAAGTTAATACATGTTCCAACCAAATGCAGAGAGATTAGAGTAGTTTTTATCCCTAAAGCAAAAAAAACCTCACTTCATAACCTCAATGAACTCCGCACAATAAATTTCCCATCTTTCATGTTGAAGGGTCTTAAAAGAATTTTAGATTTAGAATTAAGGTGTGTTACTCCCAAGTGCAAAGTAAGCGCTATCTCACATCTGGATGTTGGTGATGCGCTCATTAGCTTCATAAATCAGTTGCTAACTGGCAGACTCATTGAAGCGGCGATGAGCTCATCAACAGCATATGGAAGGGTGAACAGAGGTACCCACCCCCCCCAAAGATGGGTACTCTCTCTTCTCCTCTGAAACATAGTGGTAAATGAACTGTTCGGTACTTGACAGGGTTTGGCAAAAGCTGAATTCTGTATTAGCATGGCGTTATGCACAATACTATCCATGGTACAAGATTTGATGGTTTACTCACTGCCACTGGATATCATCAGTCAACAAATGGCAGCTTCATGTGCTCTTAGACTTAAATCTACCTCACAATGGAGTGCCAGTGAATATGGACATCCCTCCGTTATTAAACTTTTCAATTTTACTCCTAACAACATTGTTTACATCCCTCTTATTCTCGATATCGACCAAAAATGTATGTCAGATGTTCCCTTTTTAGGTGACGGCTTAACCATTTTTACTGATAGAACGAAAACAAGTAGTGGTATAGACCGTAGAGTTTCCTCAGAGGAATTGAATAAATCTTTCTACTTTAGGCTACCGGATCATTGTAGTGTCTTTCAGACGGAACTGATCGCCAGTAGGGAAATTATAGCTTGTTTAAATGAGCGTGATATATTTGGTAGGAATATATACATACTATAAGATGTCCAAGCTACTTTAAAATCCTTGAGTTCAGTTCAATTTACACCTAGGACGGCTTTTTACCTGCAACATATCTCTAAACGAAATGTCGATGCAGCTCAATATTTCTCTAATCTGGGTTTCCGGTCATAGCGATATATTCAGCAATTGCAATGCAGACGAGTTAGTCAGAAAGGGTGGCGTCGTATAAACCTTCATTGAAAAAAATATCTTGCTTGTGATGAAGCTCCTAGAGGATATTTACCATTGTCATTATAGGTCAACATCTATAAAATCATTTCTCGCTATTCACCAAGTACAGCTGTTTCGTCCGTAAATGGTATTTTGACTACGAGACGTCCTTCTATGTTTTGGTGAATGTTTTTTTATGAATGATGCTTAGCATATCTTTTCGATTTTAATGAGTTACTGGTCATGATTTGTCATTTAACTACCATATCTATATCTTAGGTGTAGACGGTTAAATTTCCGCTACATATCTAGCCAAATAAGGAGTAACACTGGTAATTCATCTGCCAGTTAGATGTAGCATAATAACAGCACTGAATGAACTAAATCTACTTCTATCAATAGTACAATATAACTATTGTCATTAAATTCTGGATCCACTGAGAAATGTCAAATGATTTATGAAGTTGCGGCGAAATAATTTTTGACACTGCAAACGCTTTCATACATCCCGTTTTGCAATACCAACGCTCTCAATGTGAATTTAACCAAATTGCGTTAGATTGCAGTTAAAACTGCAGCTATTTTACCAATATTTTCGTAATAAGGTTTACTTAAAAGCCACAATCAAGAGGTAAGTAGGTAAGTTAGAGTAGAGGCATTGTATCCAAAAACCACCCAAAGCTTGTTCATACCAAAGATAATTGTACTTTTTTGCCTTGTTATTATAATTTTTGTTATTAAATTATAATTCACATATTTCAAGAGTCAAAGGTATCTGCTGCCAGTACATTCTAACCTCTTAGATATTTTTTATTTTATTTTATTTTTTAATTTATTGTTTTAATGAGTAAATCATATATTTTTGAATGGTTTAATTGGTCAATGTTGAATAATACACAACTTTTTAAACCAATTTTGCAAAAAGTTCGATGTATTGAATTTGTTACTATATTATAAAAACTTGTAATATATCAAAGAATACATGAAAGAAGACTATGGTCGATATATCAGTGCAAATAAAAAACATTTTTCAAAACTAATTCAAAAAGTTGTTTTATTTAATATTGACCATTTACCCCGTTTAAAAATATATTTTATTTTGTAATATCTACGTTATAATTAAAGAAATTTCCATTAAAAGTAAAGAATATCTATTATTGTTCAAAATTAATTGTATAACAAAATAACGTAGTTAAAACCACGATATTTATCTTAATTTTTTTTTTATTGAAATTAAGTACCAAAATTTCGTTTACATTTTCTTTGAAAACAATATACTTACACATTATTTCATTGTGCTAATTTGCCTAATCGAAGACTGAGGAGGCACATAATGAACTGTTTACTTAAGTTTGTATATGATTTAAATATATACGAAAGAGAAATGCTTAATGTCAAAATAAGTAGTGAATTTTTCAGTATAGATTTTTCGGCAGTTTTTTTTAGATAGGAACAGCATTTCAAATTGAATTTTCGTTTCCTTCACCGCATGCTTCGTCATGCATATCCTGTTCACTTGAAATTTCATCTGCGCTATTAGTTTTTTTATGTTCTAGTTGTGATTTTTCCCAAGCAGATTCAAATGGATAATCATATTGTTGATGCTTGCTGCAAAATTCACTAGAAGTACGCTTATCAATACGTTGAAACTCTGTTGCGTTATAATCTTCAGCATTGGTAGATGTTATATATTCAAAAAGTTGTTCCTTAGTGTAAATGTCAGGCAGACCTTTCTTACTAAAGAACTGAAATAAAAAACGTTTTTTTAAATTGTGTAACTAGTATTAAGAACATATTTACATTTATAACATTGTCACAGTCTCGCATTAAAAACTCCAACGCTGCTGGATGCTTTATTTCCACAGATTGCGCAACATCTATAAACCAACAATGGGAATCGTGCCACAATATATTATACTCACTAAGATCCGCATGCACTAATTTAGCTTCATTATAAAGTTTATGCATTGTTTCCACAATTTCATTGTAAGAACTTTCTAATTCTTTGCTACTTAATATGGCGTTTTTAAGTTTAGGTGCTGCATTATTATTTTGGCCAATAAAAGACATTACCAGCACATGTTTTTTAAGTAGAATTGCTTGCGGACATCGTATGCCAACATTCTGCATACGTATCAAATTAAGCATCTCCTTTTCAGCCCACATATTTATTATAATACGATCACGGTTTGGTTTACTGAATCGATCCTTAAAACGAAAATCATCTTTAATATAGCGGTCGCGTTGCTTGAATTCGCAGAGTACTGTCTTAAACACTTTAATTGCACATTCTTGAACTGAAGAACATAATGGTACTTGCGTATTATCTCTAAACAAGTTATTTGCATTTGTTTTCTCAGTATCAGTACAAGATTTCGCGTGCAGTATAACAGCTTCCTTACCAGTGCTTATTACACCATTTATTTGTTCCAGCACTTCATTGTTTATTAACTTATAGAGCAATAATCGTGTTGGACCATCTACACCAATTTCTGCTGTAGACACATGATCCTTTCGATCGTGCATTTTATTTTTCTTTGTGCTACCGCTATTTGTAGCACTTCGACGTGAATATGTTCTGAGCTGATTGAAAACCTAACGAAATAAATTTCACTGATAAACCAATTTTATGAAAGAAAAGGAAAATAAATCTTACGCTGTTTGAAAGTTTCATATCAAAGCCTGCACCATCGCCAGTGGCAAATTCTGGAGGGAAAGACATAACACGACAAGCATTACGCACACCACATAATTCTTCATCATGCTTTGTTATCATTTCACCTTCACCATTGATCATAAAACCACTCCTTGGAATTGTGTCCAACATTTTTTTATTTTTCTCAAAACGATCCCAGTCACCTTCTTTCGAACCATCTTCTTCATCTAGTTCTGTACTTATGTTATTCGATTCGTAATCGTCTTCGCTATTGCGGCGAAACTTCTCAAGGCTTATAGTAACTTTTGATTGCTTGTTTTTGGCCTGTTCAATACGACGTAACTCCTGATTGTACTCAGAATCAAACTGCATTTGAAGCATCTGTGCGATTAGCTCGTCCGAATCACATTTATTGTCGCATATCTCGAATTCTGATAAATCCTCGGAATTTAGATTTTTTTCTTTCTCTTTGGGAAGCAATGCAGCAGGATTAACTGCAACTCCAACAGTGGCGTTTTTGTCTTTTTGCTTTAATCGTTCCAGCTCTTTGTTATGAATTTGATAAGCATATTGTTCTGACATAATATCTGCTAAGTTCGTCTTAAGAACTGGTGTATTGTCAATATTCCAAGCCGACATTATTAAAATTAGTTTAACTTAATGAATATAAATTACTAAAAATATAAAACAAGCTTCGAGTGGTTCTTTTTAATACTAATCACGAAATCTATTTACAATCAAACTTAAGCTAAAATGTGTATTTTTCCAAAGTTATGAAATTCACGCAAATTGCATGGCGTTGCCAGTTGCAAGTATTCAGAGAGTTTCACGAAAAGAGCACGAAAAAATTTTTACTTATTTTAAATAAACATAAATGAAATTGTCAATTTTTTAAATGTGCCATGATATCTAATTTAAATATTTTAAATATTTATTTTGATAGTTGAAATATATGTATTACTTTAAAAAAATTTATATAAATTTTTTTGATTTATAACACAAAACAAAAATAGAGTTAATAATAATGCAGGTCGAACACAGTGGCGTAACTACATTTCTTAGACCTATAAGCAACTACTAACTAAAGGGCCCCTACTAACAACTTTTTATACCCTTTATACGAAAAAGTGTAAAAAGGGTATATAAACTTTACACACATAGTTTTTGGGAGCGGTCTCTGATCACCATATGATTTGATTGAAATTAAACTACTATTTCTTATAGCTGCCATATAAACTCAACAACCGGATATGGGGTTTCTCCGTTTTTAATAAAGATACTTCAATGAAATTTGGTATATGTTAATGGTTAATGGACTATTCTGCAATATGGAGTAGATGCAGATTTAAATATAGCACCGATAGAAATTGAGGATTGAAGCACAACTATACGGCAAATCGTTTCATCCCACTTTTGAGAATTTATTAAAAATAAATACAATGAATACATAAATTTATAATGGGCCCCCTAAATTCGTGGGCCCGAAAGCGTTGCTTCCAGTCGCTTCCCTGTAGTTACGCCACTGGTCGAACACATGACGATTTCAATTCACCACACCACTGAATTCCTTACAAATTCTACAATATGTAATTAATTCATTCATATACATTTTATATATTAATTACATATTCAATTAATAAATACAAACATTTAATTAAATATTTAATAAGAATAAGAAACTCGAATTCAAGTAACTGATTTGTTTTATATACTTATTCTACTTTAGGGCTTGGATAGGAAAAGCCCTATCGATGGAGTGCATTGATTTTCTCCCGACATGCATTCAAGAAAAAAAGGTTTAGATTGCCAATTTAGAAAATAGTGACTCAATCACTGTTTAGGATTTTATACGTCCGTAAAATCCTAATTTCTGATTTGATATTAAAGTGTAGCCAACCGTAGACTGAAAAAGAAGAGAGATTAGACACACTCAATTGTATTTGCAGGCTATATGTGGCATAAGGAAACGAAGCTCTATCTGAAAAGTTGCAAAATTCTAATTCCACATAGCACTCTATGGTACAACTCCTTTTGCGGGTTCTTTAAAGTTCACCAGCCTACATACAGAAAGACTGAAATCGACCGCTTTAACTTGGGGAAAACATACAAACACAGACAGAATGTAATTGAATGTCAGGCAAGACTCGGTAGGATATTAGCATGTACCTGTAATCGTATTTACTAATGGTGTTCGCTGTAGAAGATTCTTACCTATATTTTCAGATTTTCAAAGTTTTCTGTGTCAAAGTTGTTTGACATTCTTCATAAAAAACTTTCAGACATATTTGCTTTGGTTAGAGAAATTATTACCCGGTTTCCCAATTTGAGTACAATATTAACGTACGTCTCTAATACGAGTTTCTTTTTTATTTTTTTGGCTGTGAGTGTTCTGATATGGTACGTTGATGATCGAGTTTACATAGAGACAAAAAAGGAAGCAAACAAAAGGAAAACGAGAAATGTTTTAACTAAAACATGAATTGTTTATTTTTGTATATATACATTATTGAGAAATATATATTACATTTATATATATACATACACTTATACTCGAATTAATATAAAAATTAATTTAAAATAATTTTTATTATTTTATTACATTAATCACGAAATATTCTTTAAAATTATGGTTGCTTCAACATCATTTACATATCAATTCTTTACAAAGGTTTTAATAAAATCTTAGTCATTTTACTCAGAAGTAGTACTGCTTAAATCGTCAAAATATGGATGGTTCAATATATCTCTAGCTGTAAAACGATGAAACGGATCATAAATAAGCATCTTCTGTAATAAATCGATTCCAAGTTCATTTATATTTTTTAATTGTTCCCGTAGGGTGTATGATGACCAACAAGGAAATGTTGCTTTGTAATCTGGAAGAGAGGTTACTCCAGGCCATATGTCCTCAGTTGGTGTTTTTAAAATTCTAAATATTGAAATATTTGCTTTATAAATGTAAATATATAAAGGAATATGAAAAACAGTCAACAAATTGTCTTTTGGCTTTGCTAAAACTTTACAGTTACTAACGTTGCAAACAATTATTACTATACGTATTAATTTAAAATAATTTTTATTGCTATATCCTCAAATCGAAATCTATTTTGTATATTATATAATATATATATATTTGTATATATTACAATGCAAATCAGATAAAAATTAGATAACAAATTTATTTAAATATTACACTGAATTACTGTAAAACTGTAGTTTTTTGAAAAGTTTTCATGATTTCAACAATCAAAAATTAAACTTTAATTATTAAGAACTTTTCATTAAGATCACAATAAAGTTTATAATTTATCAGCCATTAGTAATCCAATAAGAATAAATACAATTTATCCCATTAACATTTTGATAGGTGTATTTCATTTGTATTTCGAATATTATACCTGAAAATGTGAAATAGTTGATCAATTTCTGAATCGCCTCGAAATAGTGGTTTTCTGGTAGACATTTCAGCAAATATACAACCAACGGACCATATGTCCACTGAGAAGGCATAATATGGAGATCCTAACAAAATCTCAGGAGCTCTATACCACAATGTCACAACTTCATGTGTATATACGCGAGATCTAGGACTAATTGACCGCCCCAGACCAAAATCTGCTACTTTTATAGTACCATTTTGATCAATTAATATATTCTGTGGTTTTAGATCTCGATGAAGAATATGATTGCGATGACAATAGTGTGTGGCACTAGTGATTTGATATAAATATCTACGCACTAATTCTTTATCAATATATGTATCAGGAGTCATAGAATCCATGTACTTTTTTAAATCCATTGGTATATACTCAAGCACTAAATTCAAAGTTCCTTTATATATTAGAATATCTATTAAGCAAATAATGTTAGGATGTTTAAGCTCTTGAAGCAGATCCATTTCCCTATAAGAAATTTTTTATCAAATATATCAAAATTGAAACTGTCTTTCAAACCTAAATGCTGTAGCGGGAATTCCTTCATTTTTCTCATGTTTGATTTTTTTTATAGCAACGATTTGCTTCGTTAACAAATCTTCCGCTTTATAAACGATTCCAAATGCTCCTTCGGCAATTTTCTTTAATTTTCGAAAATTCTGCATATTGAGCACTCAAAACTTGTTCCTACTCAATACACAGAAATTTAAAATGTTTTATGACCGCGAAATTACAAACGTCGCGTTTTATAAATTTGAAACTTAAAACTTGTTGTTGAAAAAAATTTATGATCAATGTAAGCACTTTACAACTTGAATGACATACATTCGGCAAAACACTATTTGATATATAAGCGCTAGTGTATCATGTGAAACACTTCACATTTTGATAAGGAAAACATTTCTGCATAACTGTTTTAGATCGCTAGAATTTTGCATATCTATTTACAGAGTGTTAAAGGCATATCATTGTTTATAGAAATACACCTATTATATGAATATGATATTTTTTTTTTTTACTTCCATCTTTTCTACCGAATGTTTAATGTGTGTTTTTACTTCTTATAACTTAACTATTATTTTGTTACAGGTTTTGGATCCCAGCCACGTTATATATAACTATTATTATTATATATTAATAATAGCGTTTTTTTTGCTTATATGCTGTAAGGAAGGAAATTTTCACCAATTTCCAACGTACATGCAACCAGTGTGAAGTTGTTATTTGAAAATAAAAATTGGTTAATTTTTATTTAATATATTAAGTATAAATAACTTATCAAATACCCACCCCGGCATGCACGTAACTGCACCACATAAATAAACCTAAAATTACATTTAAAATGCATTCATAAAGAATATAAAATATACTTAAATAAATAAATTTTACACCTATCTTATATATTTATTATTTATATTTATATTTTTAATATTTTAATATTTATTTAATTTGAATATAAATATTAAAAATTGCTACTAATGCGCTCATTAACAAAACAGGAAATGTCAAAAGTGCAAAACAGCTGATAACGGATTGTAAACACAACTGAGAGAGTAGAATACGAATATCAATGCGCGTGCATATCATGAAAAATAAATATCAACAGCAACGACGTCAAAATACAAACATTTCAATTCAGTCTGATGTGTATATAAAACGACGCATTTGCTCAGAGTGGAAACTTGAACATCAACGTTCGAAGACATCGCAAGCACACAGGGGTGGGACTTGGTCACCCATTGTCGAAGACATCGCAAGTACGCAGGAGTAGTTTAACTTTTCGAATATACCACACGCATATCATAGGAAGTTACCAGCGGAGTTAATACAAAACAAACATTTTTTCTTTAAATACATATTGAATACATATTGAATTATATTCTTCCTATTGAATCTTATATATAAGCGTGAATACGTTTATATCCTTTCTACTGAATTCTTTAAGCGTCAATTCGTTCATATTCTTTCCACTGAATTCTATGTAAGCGTGAATACGTTTATATCTTTCCACTGAATCCTATATAAGCGTATATACGTTAATATCCACTGAATTCAAACTCAGCTCTTAATCAACAGGGAGGCCACATTCTCTAGAGGTGAGTATCTAAAGGGATTTTGAGTGTTAGGATTCCCAATACCGTCAAGTCTTTATGGAAAAGTTAGGAATTTCGCGCAAGATACCTTTATATTAACTCCTTCTCTTTATATGGCGTCCCTGTTGTCTTTAGTCTTAACTCCATTAAAAGTTTTTCACAAATTTCGATAAGGTTTGAGATTATTGCATAGAGGCTTGTGTCTGCCCCGAAATTGGAAGGGTTTGCACGTCGCATTAGTAGCAGACTTCCATCTATGCCAGAAGCTGGGTTTTTGTATACCCTGAGACTGACTAAACCAAAGGAGGGCGAGTGAGTGTTCGTTAAAAATGACGAGGGTCTTACTTGAATTGTCCTTGAGGTCACTGACTTTTAGGACAAGTCAGTTGACAATTTATTCTTGCTCGTCTTAAGCAAATTTTAGATGGCAAGGAAGACACCGACAGTATCTTTGAAGCGAGGATGTGTTGAAATTTCGAACACAGAAACAATTTAAAGTAGCGCGCTCGGCGGTACTACTCTAACTTTTTCAATTGCTGTCTTAAAAGATTCGTGCCATTTTGACACGATAGGCAAAAAATTTGTTCTGCGCAAATTAAAGCGCAGTTTGCAGTTACAGGCCACGCAACTACTTATTGTGCTGACAGCTTTGTCCAAATACAAAATTTGTAACGAGTTTCTGAAGTCTCTTTGGCTCCAGCATTTACCACTAAAAGTACGTGCTATCTTGTAGGCATCGACCGTTGATATGATAGAGTTAGCTAAGTTAGTTGACAAAATATACGAAGCGGGAGACTGTTACCAAATTGCCTCAGCAACGGTAAATGTGTGCAGCAGTCTAACAGATGTTTTACCAACATGGCTGTTTGAGCAGTGATTAAGTCGATTAAATTTGGGCGGATGCCATTCGTCGAGAATTCTTCATTCATCAGGAAGTAGTACTCGAACACACTCGCAGACTTCAAGTTACCCTGACTGGTATTGGTTTTATAGCAGATTTGGCGAGCAGACTCGCAAGTGCCGCCAGCCACGTATCGATGTAACAAGCCAAAAAAGTAAGCACATCTCAATCGACGTCGAGAGGATTAGAGGACAGTGCTCTAATAACCTGACTCTTCGTACAAGATCCGGTAACGTCGATTTATCGACACGGGTGCGGACCTATGGTGTTGCCATTTGTAGTTGCGCAGATTTTTTGAAGCAATATGATCTACTGGTTGACATGAAGCGGAAACGACTGGTGGACAACAAAATGTGCGTAGCAATGAAAAGTTCCACAGCAGAGAGGTAAGTTGACAGCATCCGAATCGTATTACAAACAAGTACAGCCTCTTGATGAGCGAATATTGCGATCCAACCACATTGAGCAATAACCATCGCACAAGCAACTACTAGTTCAACACTTCATTGAAATTGCTGGTGCACTGACGTTTGCTCGAATACGACGTCTCACTGAAGCCAAATTGAAGGAAGTGAAGAAGAGTTTCAAAATTTATTACAAAAGCGCATCTGTCAGCTGTCTTAGAGTCTCTGGGCGAGTCTAATGCAAATAGTGTTAAAGAATGACGGTACTTGGTGACTGTGCGGCAATTACCGTATGTTGAATGCACAAACAAAGCCGGACCTGTATTTGATTCCATCTTTGCATTAATATAACAACCACCTCCATGGCGAAAGCATTTCATCAAAGGTTGACTTACATAAAGAATATCACCAGATTCCAGTGGCAGAGTAAGACATATTGAAGATGGCGATTACCAATCCTTTTGGTTTATTGGAATTCCGTTTCATAAGTTTTGACATTTCTGGGTCACTCCATCAGCGCGCACGGTTTCAAATCTCCTGAAATCAAAGTGGCTGCAATACTTCAACTGTGAAGGAGCTTAGACGTTTCCTGAGGATGATTAACTTTTACCGCCCATTTTTACGCATCGCTATCTGCAACCAGCGACGTTTTTTCAATCTTACTCGCAAAAACGACAATGCGAAATCAACTGGAAGCCAAAAGACATCACTGCATTTGAGATTTGTGAAGCAGATTTAGCGCATGCTACATTACTCAACTTTATGGTGCCGGATTCAGAATTAACGCTGACCATCGATGTTTCTGATATGACAGTCGGCACCGTCCTACAGTAGGTTGTAAGACTCAAACTTTAGCGTTCTATTCGAAGGTGTTGAATACAGCGCAGTTAAAATGCAGCACGTATAATCGAAAGCTAACCGCCATCGCCCAAGCTATCCAGCATTACAAGTATGCACTCGAAGAATGTGAATTTATTATTTTAACTGATCATAAACCGCTTACGTTTGCGTTCAGACAGAACAGCGAGAAAACCTCGCCTACTACGTACTAGGCAGCTAAAATTCACAAGCCAATTCTCCGTCATATTGCTGGTGCTGACAATTATGTGGTCGACACTCTTTCTCGTATTTCACAAACCGAATTTGACGCAGCACAGGTCAACGACGAGCTGCACGCTCTACTTGACAACCACTTCTTTGACACTTTTTTGAAGCTTGTTGCGTGAAAGTTACACATCTCCAATACCGATCGTCTCAGCCAGTTGCCGTAAGGTAGTAATGGCAAAACTACATAATTTATCACATACAAGTGTGAGAGCGATGCACACTCTTGTTCCAGCAGGTTTCATCTGGCCAGGTTTAGCAAAGGAGTAGCTAGTTTTAATAGGAACTACCTGTCATGCCAGAAGTCTGAAGTCTAAGACACTTTGTTTGACTAACGTATGTTTAGAATGAGAGGGTATTTATGAGAAGGTTTTTATTTATATGGTTTGTGTAAATATTTTCTGATGCGGATATATTTTTGTATATTTCAGATAATTATATTATTTACTGTAAACGGAATGCGACCAATCGAAATAATATAATTATGCTTTGTTATTAATAATTATTGATTTAGAATTATCCTTTGTATATATTCTCCCAAATTATATTATTTACGGTAGACGCATAAACGCCTACTTGATAGGTACTTTGTCGTGATGTGGGAGCCTAGTGCTGCAGTGATTTGTTGGGCTTAATCAACGAGGGCACCAATTCAATGAAATGCTGTCTCCTAGTAGGGTTTTCCATGTTAGACAGATCGGCTGATGAGCAACCAACTCAAACCAAGTGTGCGTCTGCTTTCCCCAAAGTAGGGGCGGCATACAACGGCGTCTGTATTCTCCATATTAGGGGTGGTCGAGTCCGAGTCTTTTTGTGCGTGGGGGCAGACTTATAAAGAAACTCTACAGGCAGGAGGTGTTTGTACGGCTAATGTCATCAAAAAATTCTAATGTTACGATGGAGGGAGTTGGATCCCTAGTACCGGCGGTACCGGAGCGGGAGAGAGGCACCTGGCATCGAGATCCTGTGACCTCTCTTCAATATCCATTCCAATTTCAAATTTAAATTCAAATCCAGATTTTATTTTAATTTCAAATACTAATACTGGATAGGGCGCGGTTTACAAACTAACTTTGGTAGGCAAGGAGCATTGGAAGGGGAGGTTGAGGAAGATCAACTTGGATCTTGATTTCTACACTTGCGCATCGATGCAACAACCGACAATGACTCGTTATCAAAGGTAAGCAACGTCGATGTCATCAGTCCAGAGATCAAGAAACTATTACTTGCCCCTCCTCAGACCTCCAAGGCTG